ATATTATATATATATATATTTAATAATGTTCTTATTTTATATAATATATTTTATATTCAATTTACGATATAATATTTTACATTTATATAATATTTCTTTCTCAATAAAACTTCTTTTTAAAATATGACTGAAACTCTTGTCTCTGAAAATTAAGGATTGTATTGTTTTAAATTAAGAACATACCAGACGACCGTAGTGGGCTTTGAGCCCACGGCGGCGATATGAACGGCTTAGTCATAGGTGGTCTGATCCTCGCCGCCGCCACGCTACCGACGTTCCCAGGACCGATGCTGATCTGCAGACGGCTCTGAAAGCCACGTGGATCCAAGGACGAGGTCGAGTAGGTCAGACTCGACCCTTCCGATCTGATATCGATCGGTGGTTGTGGCTCAGAGGAGGGCGGCCGGAGGGTCAAACTGACTGACGTATAACTTCGCGCGTGATCGATTTGCGTCTCGGACTTCCCGATGGCTAACAGAGGCTCGGCGTAATGAGGTCGTGGCACGACGACAAGGTCGCTTCGTTTACCGGCACCGATCGTCGGTGCCGTTCGAAAATCTGCTGATGTAAAATCACGATTAGACAATCATTCTTTTAAAAAAGAAATACTTTTTTCGCTAAACCTCGCGAATAATTTTAGAGCCGACAGTTGAAACCAAAAGAAGTCGACGGTGTACGATCAAGTCAATTTAATTTGCGAACTGGTCCGTCTGTTGCGGTTGTTGAACGGCGATTGCGACAGGAGCTTATGAGCGCGATTAAAATGAATTGTCTCTAATAACATCCGTAATAAACAAGCATGCTGCAAGAGATCAAAATTCAAGAAGAGCGTATCGCGTTGCTATACAATCCGCTTTCGCTTGCAATTATTTCTTCTGCATCCTATCCTTCTACCTCTTCCTACAGTCGTCAGCAAAATATTATCATTCCGCAATTTCTTTTAATTTGATACTATTGTAATTTAATTCTTTTGTTAGTCTACTGCTGTTGTAATCTAATTCTTAGTACGCTGCTGGATCGTATGACATATTTAACACTCGGTATTAACATGTAATTATTGTAAGCAGTTTATATCGCATATTTGCTGTCTTCTTTCCGAAAAACTTTATTATCAATTCTAATAAGTCTCCTTTGATATCCATGCTTTTTTTTACTAAAATATTAACTTAAAAAAATTACGCACACTAAAAATATATTAAATTTTAAATATTTATTTGAATAGTGCCAACTAAATATTTATTTATAGTAAATAAATATAATATTTATTCAATAAAAGAAATGATAGTTAAATCAAATTAATGGGTCTTGTACAAAATAAATTTATCTTTATATTTAGTAAATATTTAGTTGGCACTATTCAAACGATTTATTAAGATTCAGTATATTTTTTAATGCACTTTGCTTTGCAACTCGGAATGCTCAGCATTAAATAGTATTTAATACAATATCAATACAATATCAATTCCAGCAAGGAGACAACGTCCGTCTTCCGTACCGCGATTGCTTGCGGGGCTGCAGGCGACGTTGACGTTGAGCTCGAAGCCGGATGGCGCATTGCTGCCGTTGCTGTTACTATTGACGGTGCAACCATCGTCGAAGAAACCGCGCGACGTGCAGACAGCCGGCGCGGACGAGGGGGTGACGACGCCGCTGGACGACGCAGCTGCGACGGCGACGGTGGCAGCGGTGCGGGTGCAACCTACGAGAGGGTAGCGACGGCTCATACCGATGTCCAACGACGCCGGTCGATGGGGACGGCCGACGCTGACGTTGCTCGCGACCGTTTGATTCATCGCACAGCAACGCTGCTGCAATGCGAGTTGTTGTTCTCGTTGTTGTGCTTGCGGTTGCTGCGGCTGCAGCAGTAGCGGTTGTTGCATCCCGGTACTGAGGCCCGGGGGTGGAAACGCGCCCAGTGACGGACGGGACTCCTGGGTGGCCCGCAGGCTTCTCGCGCATGTCTCCCGGTCGTGACTGTTCTGCAACGCACACGTATCTGGAGTCAGCTTGCCGCCGATTGTCCCCGATGTCGATTCCAGTTTAGGAGACACCCCGTGGAACACGTATCCCGAGTCCGTGTTTCTTTTCGAGGGCCGCCTTCCGAAAGGAACGCGTCGCGCGATCGCTTACAATTAATCGCTCATATTAGACGCGTATATGCTAGGAAAGACTTATAATATTCCAAAATATCAAAACCGGATGTTCCATCTGACTATAATCTCTTTGGCTAATAATTATAATTATACAATTATACGAATTTGGACCTAATTAATTAAAAGCAATCCTTTATTCGGTCAAAGTGGATTTTAGTGCTTAAATATTTTGGTGTGAATTTATATACATATCTAATTCTGCAAACCGCGCCGAAATCTTTTTCTTTTTGGCTAATTTAAGTGCGATTTTTCATCGATATGAAGAACGTCATCTTTTTAATTTTTAGTACATGGAAAGAATTAACGGTTTTGCTAAAATCTTTGAAAATGTAAATAGATACAATTCTGAAAATAATTTTGTTGAACTATAAAAATAATTATGTAGGACACTCTCTCTCTCTCTTCTCTCTCTCAAGCTGTGTTAGAATGTAAAAATTTTTTGCTTATATCTTTGAGTTTCCTACATAATTATCGATGATCCAACAAATTATTTTCAGATCTATATCTAAATTTTTAGATATACTTCAGCAAAATCATTCTTTCCGTATATAAACATAATTTATTTATTAAGTTTGTAAGTAAAATTCTATTAAAGTCCAACCAATTGCGGAATGTGACTTTTGTCGTTTGTTTCCTTTCCTAAAATTTAACACATCTGAACGTTATTGTCGAAGAAAAAAGGTTTTCAAATCGATTAATTCAAATATGACGAAGGAAACATCCGGTGATTCTAGGAGAGGACCTATGCACACTTAAACAACATACACACAGGTTCCACGCTCGTGCAAATGGGTTTAGCGATGCATGGCAGAGGCGAGGAAGGAGAGAGGATACGTGATTATTAATCCTTGTTAAATCTCACGTCGGAAATCGCGTTGCAGGCACCGGCGGTTAGTCGTTATTGCGGCGACCAGGGACGACTAGAATTCCTCAAGTAAGAAATTGAACAATTTCTGATTGATCTGTTATATTTTTCAGAACCTGCTTAAAATAGAATGAGATAAATGTATAAGATATAGAAGCAGATGCGTGGATAATCTTATTCTATCTTAAGCAGGTCCTGAAAAATATGGCGGATCAAACCCCTACGGCACAAAGTTGCACACAAATTGCAGTAATATTGCTGCAGCAACATTGCAGCAACATTGTACGTTACAGTAATATTGCAGAGATTTTACAGCGATATTGCTGCAAATTCTGTGCTGTATGAGAACGCATGATATCCATTCTCTTACTTGAGAATCTCTAGGGACGACGAGTTAGTTCAGCGAGTCTCTTGAGAAGACTCGTGTCCGAGACGAGGGTCGGTTTAATAGGGCAACACTCCTAACGGGCAAAGGCCACCTGTATACCTGGGCGATGCACTGGGAGACGACGTGATCAGGGAGCGCGGGGAACTGCTGCTTCAGCTCGTGGAACAGCTGCATGATAGTGATGTTAGAGCAGTGGCACTCCCCCATCATGGGCCCCCATCCTCCTGGCAGGGCCTACCTGCAGGTGCCAGGTATATCATCGTTACATATCGTCGGTCCTCACTGTCGGACCGATACAAGGTGGTCGGTCGTTTGGGTTCTTCCGTTCATTTATGCTAATAACGCGCGCCAAGAGGGATACGCCGCCCCGTCTCTCGCGATACGACCGTAATTCCGTCGCGATGACGAGAGAACGAGCCAAGAACGCTCGTAATAACGCGATCCGGAAGCTTTCTCAGAAACGTGAATATTTTATAATTCATTGGATGCGACGAGTTGGGCCGCATCCAGATCGAATGCTCCTCGTCGACTCTGTTTCGGAGCGATCTCGACGACGTCGAGCGCGAGATGAAAATCGCGGTAATCGGTGATGGACTTCTCGAGTCGCTGTGCGACGGAAGGGAGGACGGAAAACGACAGAGCGACCGTGGAACCTGGCAACGGAAAACGTGCTAAAAGAGCGATATGCGATCGCGCATATTATTTTTTTTTTTTCGGGGGCGACTTCAGCAGGTGCGACGCGTTACTCTTGAAACTTGGATCTTCCTTTCGCCCCTTCGACATGCCAAGCAGGAAAGACGGAAGCTTTTCCACTCCCTTCTCTCACTCTTTCTCTCTCTCTCTTTCTCTCTCGATGGCATATCTTATCGTATTTATAAACCCGCCTGGCTGACCCATTTTTCAAGAGTAACGCATAAGTCGAAGTTGTTTGCCTGTTTCTACACAGTAATGAATGAGAAGTTCTCGTTATCTCGCAGAAATCAAGCTCCATATCGAGCGGAAATGTACATTATTCTTTCACACAAATCAATAATTAAAATACAATCGATGCCATCTAATGAACCTAATAATATATCCAAAGAATCGAACTTTAATAACGCTCCATTAACATTCTCTGATATCCGTAAATCGCGCGACGTCTGCGATCTTGGCCCTATCTCCTATAAATAGCGGTCGAAAAATGATAACTATAGGCATACGATTAAGGAGAAATCTAAATATGTGTGCTTACGCACGAGGTGAATCATCGCAGAGATTCTTTTCGTCAAAAACTGCCAAAATCCGCGCAGGCTAATTTGAAATCCTGATCCTATTCCCACGCGGCCGATCGCTCCACGACACCCGCTACATCGCGGAATTGGCAGCTACGTAGGAAAACGGTGGACACCTGTGCGGTGCACCACGTAAGAGTGCCACATAATTATTAGCCGGCACCGAGGAACGCGCCACGCGCTCGCTCCCGCCAACAGCCGTGATGAAATTTTGCGAATAATATTATATATTATTTGCGAAAAAGAGCGCTTGGTCCTTGGTCGTAGAAAAAATCGCACCACGCGTCACCACAATAATAATAAATAAACGTGTCTAAGACGAAAGAGATAAAAATACACTGAAAAAACTAAATTTTAATAAATATTTGTTTGAATGGTTCCAAATAAATATTTACAAAATGTAAACGTATAGATATTTACTTGATACAAAATCCATTAATTTGATTGAACTATCATTTTTTTTTATTAAATAAATATTTACAAAATGTAAACGTATAGATATTTACTTGATACAAAATCCATTAATTTGATTGAACTATCATTTTTTTTTATTAAATAAATATTTACAAAATGTAAACGTATAGATATTTACTTGATACAAAATCCATTAATTTGATTGAACTATCATTTTTTTTTATTAAATAAATATTTATTTACGGTTAGTAAATGACTTAGTACTATTCAAAAAAATATGTATTAAGATTTAATAAATTTTTTTCAGTATACTAAAAAGAATATTGCAATCAAAATAGCTTTGATAAGACAAAAATATTGCAAGACCAGTACAAGTGATTTTGATGGAAAAAAATATGTTCTCCGTAAATTACCGTCGACTTCCTTTTTGATCTGATCACAAAATACTTTTCTCCGGATAATTTGTCTGTTTTCTCGCGAGCTCGCGATTGGCAAACGACGCGACGCCAATTCGATCGGAAAAGACTTCGGAGGGGACGAAAAAGCTTCAGTTGCGTGGAATTTACACTTGGAGCATAGCCACGCGGCGAAATAAAGTCCTAGAATTAATAATCTCCGTCGCTTCCCTTTCTTCCGTCTATTCGCACCTGGCGAGACGGCGGGTCAGGTGAACGAGACATCAATCAGAGAGAAAAGTGTTTATTGGCGCGCCTTGCTTCATTCGTGCTGTTTCCCTTCAATGCTTAATTAATTTAATCTAATATAATATTTCCAACAGTGCTATTAAAATGTGCATTAATATCTTATTCTTTTAAATACTCTCTAGATAAGAAAAAAATATATGGTTCCATATTGCACATAAATTCTTTGTATAAAACTCGCATTATCTTTCACATTTCTGCCTATTATTTCAGATTCGCTTGTTCTTTCGTTTCTTTGGCAGGTAACTCGCTCTTCCTCTTGAGATTTTCGAAAACAAGTCTACATGTAAATGAGCGAAATGTAAATAAATGCGAGTGGGCAGATGGCACTCGAAGATGGTGGCCGCGCGAATTCGTTCCGGCTTCGTTCGCAAATCTCGACTAGCCGAATAAACGAATCCGCTCGTGCCAAAGGCATTTTTTCAATGGTACAAGTGTAATCGGATGCCGTTGCCATGTCCTACGAGAATTCATCAGAATAATTATCACAGGAAGGATGGAGAGGAACAGTAAATCAAATACGAGATAAAATTTTCTCTTTCACGCAAACTTATTCATCGAATTGAACATATTTATAATAGATATATGTAAGTATGCGTAATTTTTCGATTTACGAGCTAGTTATAAAAATAACTAAAAAGATAAACGTTATACAAAATCGAAAAGCAAGCGTTCTTTAAACAAAAATTTCGTGAAAGAGAGCTCCACGTCGAAGTGATAAAAAAAAAACAATTATAATACATCACATTTCAATAAAGAAGTAATTACATAAAATAAGATTAGATAAAATCTGTTTTTATTCCTACATCAGACTGCACTAGAATTTTCTTTCTCGCTTTCATCAGATATCAAACATGTGTCTATTTCACTTCAAGTTCTAAAAGTGTATACGAGTAGAGCTAAAGAAAACACAGACCTAAATATTGAATAAAGACAGACGAAGACTCTACCGGAAAGCGGAAAGTTTCAGGATTCCTCTGACGGCGACAGGGACGTTTTAAGAGGGGAACGAGAGCATCGTTCGCGTCGGGACAAGCGAAAAAGGAAAAGCGGAATTCCAAGCTGCCGAGAAGATATTTGTGTCATGAAATACCCGAGAGACACGCGTACACATAGATCGCGGCTGTTTTCGTCTGGGTCCCGTGTAGAAATGAAGGAAAATCGGCAAAATCCTTCTGGTATTTCCACGTCTCCGTCCTTAGTTTTGTTTTATTCCACACAGAATTATTCTCAGGTGCGTCGCGAAAATCCATCGAAATCCCGAATATCTTGCAAGAGCGATTGATCGGCAGCGACAGTATTTCGTGTTAATGTGACGAAAAACCGCATTCTAATTTTGCGTTCACGATGATGCAAAAGGAGAGTTTCTTCGCGAATTCGATCAGGATTGCCACAAATTTCTCGTCCTAAAATTCCATAACTTTTTTCCTAATTTCTAAACAGAATTTCACGATTTTTCATGATTATTTTCAATAATATTTCGATTTTTTTTGTATTTTCATCCTGATTTAGAAACCATTAAATATTATAAGTTGACAGAGTAATTTAACATAGCAATTTAAATTATTATTAATGTTGCTGACACTGCTCGCATTTAATTGTTAAGTTATACTCCAAAACTGCGCAGGTGTGACGTACGCATATAAAATCTCTTTAAGACCAAGAATTTTAATTTTTCAGAAAATTTTACAAAATTCCTTTACTTTCCCTGATTTGCTTGACCATTTTCAATTGCCTTAACATTTCCAATTTTGTGACAACCCTATCGATGTATAGTGACAATTAATTAATTATCAAGAAATCGTGAATTATACGGTTGAATCGTACGTCTCCGAAAGTACATAATGTACGGTTATCCGACACCTGTTGCTCGCGACGAGTCCACGAGAGCTAATTGCTCGTAATAACGTCTAATTAGCAGTAACGTACAAACGCAATAAACCGTGCGTGGCAATTAAAGCGGCAGTGGAATAGAATCGCAAACGTGCTCTCAAATATTGTTCTAAATATTCGAATGTGGACTCTTTTTATTAAATAAAATATTATTACATTATTATAATTATTATTACAAATTCATTCATAAAAATTGTCAAAGAGATAGGCCGGACGATCGGCGCAATTCAACGCCGGGCGTCGCGACGCTCCTTCGACATCTCGTGGAAATCCAAGCGAGATTCGATCTGCGCCGAGGAGTTTAACGTACGTCGAGGGCGACCAGACAAAAATAAGGAACTAAGAATAATAATTGACGGGGGACGCGCATCGTTAACGTTAAGCAGAGCTATACGATAAGTTGCTCTGCCGCGCGCCGCCGGCAAAAATAAACGCAAAACTATACTGAAAATAATATCACATTTTTCGTCCCTCCCGCGAGAGAATCCGCAAAAACACGGCTGTCGCCGTCGCCGTCTGCAGACGTACAAACTGTCTGCATCAGTTGGACCCGATCTTTTCGACCGGTAGAATTTAAATCGGTTAAATGCCGTTAAGTTCCACGCAAATCATTTAATCACTTAATTAAATCGAAAAATATTTTCAAGAGAATATTACATAAAAAAATAATAAGTTAATATATTAAAACAATATAATATTTTTAATAATATATTGTCTTAATATATTAAATTATCAGTTAATAAGGTGTTAAATTATCTCAAGACGAGAGATCGCTCTCGCAATTTGCCCTCGAAACTGGATATCAATTCTCGGAACGGCTCTCCCTCTTAAACGTAAACATCTTCGGTCTTTAAATTCGAATTCCGTGCAATTACATCCCGACAGAAACTTTCACCAGTCGCGGTATTTTCGTGCGCGTCTTAATGATCCATTAAGTGAAATTATTGGGTAAGTTTAGCATCAATTTATCAGTGATTACGCAAATTACTGTCATCGCTCAATTCGCGGAGAGAAAGGTAAATACTTTTCCTTTTCGCCAAACGAATGAATCATAGGATCTCGCTATGCTTCATAATGATGGGATTACAATGAAATGTGATTTAACGCACGAAAATTAATTAGAGTCGCTGGTATCTTAATTCGAGTCACGAATTGTTAAGAAAAAAAACGCAATTATAATAATAATAATTAGAATATTATGACATCTCTCGTGATTTTTATATTATAGAATTTAAATCGGTTAAACGCCGTTAAGTTCAACGCAATTCGCTTAATTAACTTAATTAAATCAAAGGATATTTTTAAAAGGATATTATATAAAAAAATAATTTTAAATATCAAAACAATACAATATTTTTTATGTATCAATTAATAAGAATATTAAACAAAGAATATTAGAATATTATTAAGGTATCTGTAATACAATAATAAAATTGAAAAATGGCGGTATCAAACGGAGAAGCTCGTAATCCATCAAGCGAGTTCCCGGCGGAATTTATGCCAACGATTATGACGCCCTCGAAATATAAATCTACTAAATTTTCTGATTGATATTTAATCACGTAGCCACGTCCGCTCCAAGCTCGACGGCACGTCGATCGGCGCCCCAGGACGTCTCAATCGCAGGAAACGAGAACCTGGCCCCGATGGTTGGCCAATCGTCGCTAGTATGTACTTTGACTTTAAATAAACCGACGCAGCGAGAGGCGTAACGCTTCACCGCGAGCTTGTTATGACAAGCACGCGATACATTTGTTTTATGGCAGGGCGTTAAATTGATGCAGTGGCAGAAACTGACCGCGATCCGCTGTACAACTGATACTCGCTTCCTATTCTCCTTCTCTCTGTTTCACCTGCTTGTCAAACAGAACGGATCCTTCTGCACATTATTGAGGTTCCTAAATGAAACTCTCGAGATTTTCAACGATTTTTTAAATGCAAAGAGTAATTATATCTTGCAATAAAAAGATATTTATCGTTCATATCCGTTTAATGTTCGTACAAAATTGTGAATTTCGTTTAGAAATCTCAATAATGTAGATGCAAAAGGATCCATTCCGTTTGACAAGAAGGGAGAAGGAGAATAAGAAGAAATATCAGTTTTCTTCATCTTTTTATAATTCTTAAAAAAAGATTAGGAGTTGAATCGAGATTAATGTTAATCTATTGGTGGAAACACACGGAAAGAATGTTTTTGCTGAAATATACATATATCTAAAAATTTACCTAGATTTATCTACAGATCTGAAAATAATTTCGTTGAACTATCAAAATGTTTATGTAGAATGTTCAAGCATGATGAATAATGCCACAAAAAATTTTGATATTTCAGCGATGATATTTGAGCGTCGTAACACAATTATTTTCAGATCTGTAGATAAATATTTAGAAGCTTCAACAAAATTCTTTTCCTGCGAGAGAAGTAATTATGTAGCCAATTTGATAATAAAATTTGCAATAAGAAATATCGCCTATGAAAGCGGTAAATATTCGCGATACGGAATTATTAGAGTCGATCACATTAAAAGAAGCTCGGCTGTTTACGTTTGTCTCGTAACAGGTTAAAGCGTGACGTTTAGCGTTTTTATTGCGAACGCGCATAATTCTTACCCACGCGCGTGGCAACTCGCAAACTGTGCAAACAGCCACCTCGTGACAGATTATCTTCGTGTAACATTATCGTAAATCTTGCGCAACGATTGAAACCGGTATGACGCGGGTGAAACATTCTACGATCCGTCGTCGTACGGCTAAAGATAATCCTACCGTTACCGCGTCGCGTTATGTTCTGACAAAACAGGAGATAAGAGTACATATATTAAAGAATATATCAAATAAATGAATGTACATTAATATTAATTAAGAAGTAGAAGTGAGGAAGGTTAACCATCAATTGTGTAAATGTGGAATTTCTGGGACTCCTGCCATACGTTTTGTAATTTTGAATAATTATATATTCTTTTCTTATATAGGCCGGTATTCATAGTTGATTCTTATATTTGAGGCTCTCTTAAGTACAGTCTTAAGATGTCATAAGCCAATCAGAGAAATTACTTAAGACGGTCTTTAAATAAGAATCGACTATGAATACCGGTCTTAGAAAAACAAATAAAACGATACTGTGCAATGCTGAAGAACATAAAAAATGCAACGTAATAAAAACTGAAGAGTAATTACAACTATTTTTCTATTTCTCTGTAAGAACTAAGAATAGAAGTATTTTAGAGTGTAAAATACTTCTATTCTTAGTTCTTACAGAGAAATAGAAAAATAGTTGTAATTACTCTTCAGTTTTTATAGTCCAAAAAAACTTTTAGAGTTAATCTGAAGAGTGAAATCTTGCTCTCAAAGATTGAAAATTGAGTTACCCTTTTTCAAAACTGGCTCAATTTTCACTTTTTGGAGTGGGATTCCAGTGATTCCACATCAAAGAATTTAAAGAATACGATCACTAACTAATGTGTAACGTTCACAATTAAGAGTTACATTAATTGTCACGATGATCATCCGTGATTGACCGGTGATTGATTTTTTTACCGGCGCTATTGAAACCTTTTAAGACGCTTGTAAAAGACAAGTGTCGTGTCTTGTGCCCTTTGCTTCCTGTTTCTTACATTTTATCTCTTTTCCCCATTAAAATTAAACTACATTAGTAAGAAACGAGCGTAAGGCTCAGTTCCACTAATGTAAACATTAATCTCGATTTAACTTACTGTTTATCTCTTTCTAATGTCAATTCCTATCGATTTGCAGATTGAGTTTAATCTCGGCTTAATTTACCTTCGTCCTTTTCTAATTCTTAGGACTAATAAAAGATGAAAAGTAAGTTAAACCAAGATTAAAATTAACTTACATTGGTAGGAACTATAGGAACAGGTATAATTCTTAGAAAAGAAAGATAAAAAGTGAATTGAACGAGATTAAAGTTAATCTTATATTGGTGCAACCGGGCTTAAAACGGCGTTCCCGAGTTCTCGGAGAGGAGAACTTTTCCTCCGCGCGGAAGCACATTGTTGTCGCGGCGCGTACCCATCCGGTGCATTCCGTCGCGGGTGTATTTTCGTGCCGCGTGGAGTGCCCGGCGCCGTCGCGTCGTCGCCGCGAGTAAAAGTCAGAGCGCGCTCCGTTTCTTTCCCCCTCGCTCCTTCGCGACGCGGAGGAAGCGACGGACGAGACGCCACCGCCGTCGTCCACGTCGACGACGACGGCGGCGATCGCCCTGGAGCGCCGCTTTTAGATCCGAACTTTAGTCGGACTCACCGGACGACAATCATCGGAGACGTCCGACGGGCGATGTTGTTGTGCACTTCCTCCTCTTCCTCTTCACTAACACCTACACCTCGTCCGTACCAGAAGAAGGAAGGGACCGACACTGTGATCGATGATCGTTCGCCAAGAAGATCCCGTGGAAACTCGCTTTTCGTCTCTCGTGGAGATTTCACCTGTCACCGTGCGCGATCGTGGTACACGCGAATTGAGTGGTCTTTTAATCTCTTTCTCTCTCTCTCTCGCGTCCTGTTTCCGACTCACGTTTTCTTTTCTATCTTTTCCTTTCTTCCTGTGTTTCTAGCCACACTGATTTCGCGTTTTCTCTTTCAAGAGCCGACGAGCGGAGCAGCTACCGTCCGTCGGGGCCACCGATCAGCTGTGCACTGCGTATCCGACCACCGCGCTGCTCGGCCGCGACTTTCGTCCCGGCGCGTCGCGACGCCTTGCGTCGCGGATGACGGCGGACTCGACGTCTCGCAGGTGATTTAATATTTTGTCGATTTCTCCGAAACGAAGCGATCGCGAACGTCGACGACCGCACGAGGCGATGGGAGCTCGCGCGATCGCGTAGTCAAGATGGCCGTCGATAAGAATAAAGTGGCCGTCCCTATTTATGAATGGAAGTCGCGTCACACGATAGCTCGCCCCGCGGTTATGAGGAACGAGAAGCGTCGAGAGGTGGGATGGCGGTCGCTGGGAGAGAGGGACGCGACGTCCGCGCGCTATTTTGGATCGCGTACGAGACTGGACACCGACGCACGGCATCGCGACGGATACGGTCCTCCTTTTCTCGCCGTGTATCTGATTCCGCCTGGCGCTTCTTCCTGCCACAATTCTCGCGTGGAAACTACTCGAGGATAATTGAGAGACTAATATTCGTTTCTATCAATATATAATTTAATTTTAATTTAAACTACTTCATTTCTTTTTAGTTCTACAGCTCGATTCTACAAATATAAGATTAACTTCCCCTACAGTAACACTGTTGCAACATTGAATGTTACAGCAATATTGCAGATCTTGCAGCGATATTGCTGAAAATCCTGTGCTGCATGGGTTTAATCTCGATTAAACTACGATAACTATTATTACATATTTATCTTTTTCTAATTTTTAGAATTTAAGTTAATTTTACATTTGCAAAACCAGGCTTAAGAATTAGGAAAGGATGAAGAGATAGCTGAACTGAGATTGAAGTTAATCAATATTGATGGAAATAAACATAAAGGATTCTACTAATGTAAGATTAAATTCGGTTCAATTTATTCTTTTTGTCCAAGTTAATCTTACATTGATGAAACTGGGTTTAAACTGGGAAAATTAAATCGACGAAAACATAGAACGAGAATTGCAAAGATATTTCGTGTTGAAGAAATGTTCTTTATACATTTTCTCATCACGACTGCATAGTTGAACTTACCTGACATATTATTCTGCTCCGGTTTTTTCTTTATATCTTCTTTTCAGGACCTCATATCATATTTCATTCAATTTTCTTCGGGGACGATCTATTAGGACGACGCTATTGAAATGACACTGGATACTTTCTAATTAGTGACATAAATCAATAAACACCATTTTATCTTTCTTGACATTCCATGAGTAACAAAAGGTGTTTTCCATTTAATGATACAAGTTAACACACTTCATTCTATCCTTCTTGACATTCAATGTTTAATAAGGACGACACTTGTGTGATCAAATGGAAAATACTCAAAGATAGAATAATATTTGTGTAATACGTCATTCAATGGAAATCACCCACTGTAGTGACCACTGGGTTCTTTCCATTTGGTGACACAAGTCGATACAAAAGTGTCATTCTTCCTTTGTTACTTATTGAATGTCGAGAAAAATAGTGTTTGTGTCGACTTGTGTTGTTGAATGAAAAACACTCATTGCTACTAATGTACATTAACTTTAATCTCGATTCAACTTACTTTTCATCTTTTAGAAATTGGAAAAAGGTGAAAAATAAGCTAAAGATTAAAGTTACTCCACATCGATGAAAACGGGCATAAATAAAATGTAATGCTTTCTGATCGTCCTTGTCACCCATATCGAGATATAAAAATATCAATATCACATATATATTTAACAAAAAAAATAGTGCCTAGATATCATATATAAAATTATAACATTTTACGTCATATTGGATACGAGGACTTAGCCTACGCTGTGATAAATGAGTGCTTCAGGCATTACTGTAAACACTGGTATATTGACTTCTACGGATATATAAACCAAAATTAATATAATAATACAATAGTAATAATAATAATAATTATAATAATAATAGAATTACTAATGTGGAATAGACAGTTGCATACGAGTTGCACTGTTGCTCGATTTTCTGTTTTCTGGAACAGTAGATTAGTGGAAATAAGCGGAATCGAGTTCCCGGATGCTGTTTTTTAACTGTTTTCGTGGCTCGGAGAAAACAATTGTGGGAATTGTTTGCGCTCGTTCTCTGCTTGTAAATCAGTAAAAGTGCTAACGATGAATAACAAGATGTCTCGAATCACGCTGCGGAATCCAGAAGAAACGTACGCATTCTGGATCACGTGTCTCGCGAGATACAGCAAAAAAACAAATTCTTTCTTCTCCATATATAACGATAACATGTTTCTTGTTTTCTGTTGTGCAATCATGTTTAAGAACATGAAGATATGTTAAACAAATTCATAATTCCGAACGTACCTTTCTCATTAATGCAAATGTCTCGATCGTGTTTAAGTATTTCATTACTGTAGCTCGTGATAATGAGTGGCTGAATGAAAACAATGGAAAAAAGAGAAACGTTTAAAAAGATTTACGCAAGTTTATTAATAATGTTGAAACATTTTATCAAGCATTCTAGGATTATTTTATCTACTTGATTTACTTAATTGTATATAAGAATAATGCTTAGGAATAATGATTATTATCCAAAGGATAATTTCTATTAAGATTGCAAAGAAGCAAAGATATTAATGGCACCAATTTAGTTCTCTCAAACGCATACGTTTCTTTTGCATTCTTAGTGTTAATTTTCGTGATTGTTGCCGTTAGAGAATAACAAAATCATTATCGCTTTTTCTAGTAAACTTAATCCTTGGATTAACAATAGCAAATTAAAATTTTGTAATACTACTTAGGTCAAAACTACGTACGCGTGCTGTACATAGAAGAAAAAGAAAATAAAGGAGAAGAAAAATGGAGAAAATCAATATTCTCTATCATTTTTAAGATTTTGAATACCTTAATGCACTTATGTATGTTTTCGCGTCGTTTGCGGTAAAAAAAAGCTAATCCGTTTACACCTGAATTGATCCCACAAGAAAGGGATGCAATTCAGCAATAATTGCTTAGCAAAAGATATGAACTAATCAATGACGGCGACGACACGAGCTCACGGCTCGAAAGACGGGAGTTTCAACGGTAGAATCCGCAGTTTATTTTCGATGCTATTGTTGGACATATTAAATTACAAAATGTACGCCGTTGAAACTCCGTCGAGGCGATTCGCCGTCTCGCTAGGCCGATCTCGATGTCTAATCGAAGTCACGCGATCGCAGACTCGCCAAGGAAGGTCCGACCTAGTCATCGTTGACCTCGATCGGGATACTCGTAGTGAAGGTCGGCGTCTCCAACTCCTCGTGCTTCTTCATCTTCATACTCTGCAAGTAACGAGATTCGCAATTATATCGGTCGAGGACATGGGAAAAAATTATAGTTTACTGCGCGACGAATGGGATTGCGTCATTGCGCGACACAAAATTAAAGGCGTGAATTAAAGACGTGAATTAAAGGCTTGTCGAAAAGCGTTAATTATTTAGCTGAACGCGAATGCAATTAGAGATCCATCCGTGCGTCTTACCTGTTGCAGTTTATAGTGATTAATGATATCTTGATCGGCTGGGCAGCTCTGTAGGAAAGCGTCGAGCCTGTACATGTGATGCATGTACCGCCACAGATGTACCAGAGTCTCCGGTATCTCGAAGTCGGCAAAGTACTTGCCAGCGACCCTGATGTGCTGCAGCCGCGGCATCAGCTCGCAGTCGAAGCAGCACATGGTGTCGCCGGTGAGGAAACGCGTACCCTTGCGGCCCAAATGTTCATCGATCTTACGCAGATGGGCCATCAGCGACGAGGACTTGGGATCCTTGTCCTTGTCCTTGGCGTTCAGTAACAGCAGCTTGAGTTTCTGTAAAACGAATATACATGTAATTATTTCTTGCCTCTCTAGAGAAAAGGATATAATTCGACAAATCAGTTTCCTCATTAGTTTCACTCTCGACTGGATTGATCAACACTCACGCTGAACAAGTTCTCCACAAGAGTGGCCACTTCCTTATCCTGTACAAACAGATTGTGCCCGCCAGGGATGTTCTTCATGATGTGCCGTTCGATCTTTTCGTTTTCCAGTATCGCGTCGCCGTTGTCGATCAGGATAGGCGGCGGCGTGGCCTGAAAGTTGGTGCGAAAGTCGGGCGGCGGTTTCTGCATGTCCACGGTGGTCACCTTCAAGGAAATCGTCTTCAGCTCCGCCAAGAGATATAGATCCATGAAATATTCCTGGCAGAAGAGACAGGCGCCCTTTCGACGGCCGTCGATCGTCGATGCCTAAAAGCGATATTTTTTTCATTAATTAACATCGAGATAAATGTAAACAAAATTTCTAGTTGACTAAGGAATATATATTTAGGATTCAAAAGATACATGCGATACTCAAATATATTTTAGATTCAAGAATATAGACACTATTACGATTTAAAACACGTCTATATACTTTTTTTTTTCATATAAATTAGTATATTACATCTCGTTATTTTTCACGGTAAAAATCGCATTTTGCGACTATTAACGTTAAAACTGGCATGTAAATTCTGCGGTATCTTGCGGGTTCGATTATCCTGCCTGTATCTCTGAGTGATAAGAGGCTGACGTCAGCCAACAACTAGTTCACGAATCCAACAACGGCGTGGCGAAACGCGCGAATCTTTGTGTTTGCGAGTGATGAGCAAACCCAACCCATTAGTCAAACCCTCGACGTCCCACCACCGCACATTTTTTTAACTGCTCGATCGGCCGAATCGAGAGAGTACCGAACTCGCTAGAGCACGGCGCACTCGTTTCCCCGATGTCACGGTTTATTTATTCGCTCGTCTCTGACGTCCTAACTGCGTTTGCGTCCATGGCCATCCTGAAAAAACCTTACGCAATCTACCAATCAAAATTATCTTCTTTTTTCCCGCCGATGTGTTATTTTCGGCGTAGATTCTGATATTTTCCAAGCTAGAAAATGTGTGCTTCTAGCAGAGCTATTACTTTTGACAACCTCGAAGATTCAAAGCTTCGAAAGAATCCGAATCTTCGAAGTTTACTCCAAATTTTTGAAGATTAAAGTGCCTTCGAAGCTTCGAGTAGGTTACGAAACTTTAATCTTTGAAGCTTCGAAGTTTGACTTCTACCGTCAAACGTCGAAAAATAAATGTTTATTGTCTAAAACTTTTAGAGTAAACCTCACTTTGAGTGAAATCTTACTCTTAAAGATAAAAAAATGAACCAATCTTTTTCAAAACTGGCTTAATTTAAATTCTCTTTTGAAGTGAGATTCCACTTCAAAGAATTTAGAGAGTACATCATCACTACCAGGGAAATTCGATTTTTTTTTCCTTCTGATCCGGCGGCTTCAGCCATTCTTCTTTATTTCCCTCTGGCATTTGTAATCTATAATCGTACCTCTCGTGCCTTCATACTTTTTAACCTTTGATCGTTTCAAGAATTATTCCATGATATTGCATCTAATATACCGTATCTAATGGACAATCGCGCGAATATCTTTCGTTATATGACATTCCCTCTGATCGTTATCCTCGATACTTTGATCCTTTACCCAACCGATGGAAGCTAAACAATCCACGCATTGTGTAACGTAATCGTTCTTTCCTCGGACAGGCTCGACCACGATCGCTCGTAATTCGAGCAAATTGAATCTCGGCAGTTTGCCAACTCTCTCTCTCCTCTCCCCCCCCTCTCTCTTTCTCTCTCTTTCTCTCGGACAACGACGGTTCTATTTTCATCAGGCGCTAACAATCGGCTTTCCAGGATCTAACGAGCTGGGCGTTTACGGAACAGGAGGTGGTCGCACGATATTATAACGTACTGCTGTATCGCCGCTACTATGATTTACTACTACCGATGTCTTACTTTCCATCCCAGGCGTCACGCAGCAGCCGACACCTCGTGCGTTTTGTATTCCTTCTCGGCGATGACGCACAGTCCGTTTTCGGACGTTGCACAACGTGGACTTAAAGGCTCCAATTGGCGCGCGCGCGCAATTCTGTCAGAAAATCTCCTGTCAAAGATTACTCTCGCCGATCGAGGACGCGATAACGAATCTTTATGAATCGTTAATTCTCTTCACAGTTTTTAATGCAAATATACATGCCCCAAAAAACGCCGTTCCAGAAACAAGTGTTTTTGAGTGCCAGTGAAAGCGAAACTTCGGAGCAGAAAATTATCTCTAAAATTATTTAATGAAAAAAAATCTATATTGAGATTCTTTCGTTTATTGATGGGTTCAGAGGTCTTTCCTTTTACATTCTACCGCTACGTATTTTTGTACGGGCCTGAAACGCGCGGATCTGTTTCCATACTCCTTTCAGCGATGTATGTTGCTGTCTGATACCAAGTTTTATTTGTCTTACACGAATGAGACTCAAACAGCCACACTCTTAATGTTAAATGTGAAATATGAACGCGTGTCATGATATTCCCTCAGGCGTCCATCGTACATCTGTTAAACATCTTTCGGAGTTGAATGCATTCGCACGGTATCAAAACTGTCTGTCTATCGATTAACCGAAGAACACTGAACATCATTGCACATAATGTTTGCGTCATTATTTCCGGAATCTGCGGGGAGGTGAAATAAAATATAACGACAATTCGGCAAGGATAATCAAACAAACCTCGCTTATTTGATTATCGAGCTTGATTTTCCGCACGGCGGTTGTGTTAATTGGGAATTCCACGGAGAATATTCAAAGAGTTATGTCTGTCTCCTCGTCCACGATTTGCACAAGTCGACTTTGAGGTATGAGTCATTTATTCCGAATAAAGCGCGCAATAAGCAGATAACGAGAGACAAATAATTCATGAAGTGAAACCATCTTTATAAACTTTAACTTAGAGTCGCGATTCTGTCTGTCCTAACGTTATTTCGATTCTTTAAAAATATGGATTTTTTTTCTAGATTTCTAAAAAAAAGGGCAAAGAATAAGAATAATTAACATTCAGTCGATGTTATCAAAACATAACATAAAATAAAGCGAGAGCACGATAACAGCTTGAAGAAGTCCCTCCGAGACTCTCCAGCGGAAATCTAGCATTGGTATTCATGTCGAATATACAAGTCGCACGAAGAACGCGGATGGTGGATCAAATGTCATGAAGACACTGAACCTCTTCCATCTTTGAACGCGACTCTATCTCTCATCCGCGGTCAGCGCTCCTCACCTCCTTTCTCTATTACGAAAGCCTGAAAATTCGTATGCGATGTCAGGTGTGCATCGTTCGATATTTCACGGAAACACTCTAAAAGATAATATCAATGTGGATTTAACACCACGCAGTGTCTTTACACACAAAAAATGTTGTGGTTAAACCAACAAAAAGGTCCACCCAGAATAGCGTTTTGGTGAAGCCAAACAGAACTTCTGATTGATATAACCAGAAAATGGCCTCATTAAAATGCGATTCTGATTCGACCTTTTTTGCTAAAACATTTTTCTCAGAATATAATTCTCACCGTATTGATGTTAATGGATGCTTTCCATTTTAAATCAACACAAACAATATTATATCTTTCTTGACATTCAGTAAAATAACAAAAATAGAACGACATTTGCGTCGTTGACTTCTGTCACTAAATAGAAAGCACTCAATATTAAATCAACACGGTGCGGATTTATCACCATGAGTTTCAAATCCACACCATGATGGCATTGATACAAATATCAGAGACTCTAATCCTCCATAGTTCAACATTTTTCCACTGTTTTTCTATAACAGTCCAACCAAGTTACTGATGTCCGATTGCGTTTTCCAAAGAAGATTTTTGGGCTCTAAAAAATCTGAGAAAATTCGGATACACTCAACAATTAAGAACACGATTTTACAATATGACCCGAAACGTTTTTAATATTTTTTATACGTGTCCGAATTTGAGGCAGAATAATTCAAAATTGAAAATTTGCCCGAGTTTTCAAAGACTCGGTTGGATTACGGAAAATTAAATTCATACCAATATTTTTTAGAGTGCAACAAAAATCAGCGTCGAAACGGATGGATGCAACAAAATGGGAGGGTGCATCTTTTCAAAATCACTTGACGACAAATCGCTCTCCGTCTCGTGCATATAGGTGCGATTTATCGTATCGTTCAGAATTTTAACGACACGATTTAACTCGCCGTGAAGGAGATACGACACGCGTGTACACACACGCAGGCGAATTCCATTCCTTTGAAAAGCCGCGCAAGCATTTGCCGAACGCGGATCGGTAAAACCACTGGCGTTTTGATTGAGTTCAGCATATTTACGGGCGACGCGGGGACAACCGGGGGGACCTTAAACCGCTTCGACGTGGAATCTCGGTTTAGGCGAGCGAGAGGAGCGAGAGGCAAAGTGTTTCATTTTTTTGATCTCTTTCGCGTCGATGTCTGTTACGCGAACGATTCGCGTTATTGCGGCCTCGCGACAACGTTACGCGGCTCCGTCGAAGCCGCGAAACCGGACGGTAAAAACGGGGAAAAGAAATCGAACGGAAAAAGGAAGAACGACGACTAGTAAGAGCGGTGTATGCATCGCTGGTATCGCTAATGGTAACATCGCGGACAACCTTGTTTCATGCCTGAAAGAAATTAATGCGTGCCTGCGCACTTGTGTCATTCGCCCGAGGAATTCTCTGCACGACAAAAGTCTTACGAGGAAGTTATCCCCGCGAGCGGCTTCATGAAATATGGACGAGTCAATGACTTCGAAAGTGACACAATTCCGATCTCTCGAACTGCGATTCTGATCGTAACATGCACTGAAAAATGTACTGAATTTTAATAAATAATTATTTGAATACTACTAATATAACATTTATTTACAGAAAATAAATATTCGCTAAATAAAAATAATAATATAATTAAATCAAATATATATATATATTTAATGGTTCTTGTATCAAATGAATATATATTTACAATTAGTAAATATTCAACTGGCACTATTCAAACAAATATTTATTAAAATTTAGTACATTTTTCTCTCAATATAGGAAGCTTTCCAGCAAGAAACACAGTGTAACACAGTGAATTGTTACATTCTTGTTGTTTGCCAATGTTAAACGAAGATGAAACGATTATTGCGTTACTATTAGTATTTTCTACTGGGGAAACTAGTACAAAACTGGTGCAATTGAGTGCAAATCAGTTTACATATTTCCATTGCTAATAAATAATTAAACATAATGCTTAAGAAGCGCCATAACGGTCAGAACGTTTAGATGTTGAACTATTGTAAATTCATTTAAATGAATTAATTTCAGAAATGATAATTGCGTGCCGATATG